ACTTTTTGTATAGAATTTATTTTCACTGATTTTTGATGAGTTAAATGTAAAACATAGGAAAAAAGGTATATTCGTTGGATTTTATTTTCACTGAATCATTCCTTCAGCGAAAATAGCAAAAATTAATTCCAAGCGAAAATGAAGTATTTTACAGTATTCCCCTGTCAAAGTTCGGCCTTTCAATGTGAGCAACGAAATAAAGAAATTCAAGTTCAAAATCAAATTGTTTGATTTTTATGGCAGACTTTTGGCGCACGTCTTTCTCGCAACTCACTCACGCAAGATCTCACAGTTGAATGGAAAAGCATCTATTGTTACATTGTTCGTGCTGTAAAAAGTTAATATTTTACAGTATCAACCAATGAATGTGTGTCTTACCTTCAGTACACTTCCCATAACCATTGCAGGCTCTCTTACAATTCCCATGTCCTGGACACCACAAATACCATGCAACCACGTACTGATCTCTACCGCATTTATTCTTTATTTTCTCAATTTTCTTCTGTCCTTCCTCCGTTGGTACAAACTGGTCATCGTACCGGTTACGCTCAAGGGTCTGTTTGCCACGCTGCCAACTGCCCCGATCGACAGCCCCTTCGTGCCTCTGCACTGAAACCAACTGTCGTTTGACCTCACGTTTGCCACGGTAAAGACTGATGTCTTTCAGTAAATTATGTGTAGTCAGAAACAATTTGAGTAACTGCCCTACCGGTACTGTGTAGAAATCTTTGCAAGACTTCCAGCAGATTTTATTGGACACCTTCGTTTTGTCATTTGTCTTTTTATTAAGACCAGTGTCAGTGTCAGGTTCATTAAATTCAAACACGTCGTCTCCGGCACGTTCCATTTCTTGTAATTCATTACTATGAGGCATTGGTAGCAATACCAATGTTTCCCCTTCTTGCAGTGCATGGTTACTGTTATTCAACTCGTGCAACTCAACATCAGTGTTGTTGTCAACATACTGTCCCAAATTAGAACTGTTGTCAAGTTGATGTCTCAAACTTGGGGCAGTGTCAAGATGCTGTCCCAAATCTGCAGCGGTGTCAAGTTGCTGTCCCAAACCTGTGGCAGTACCAAGTTGCTGTCCCAAATCAGCATTATTGTCAAGCAATTGATCGGTGCCTGTACCACTGTCATTAAAATGTTGTTGGGAGACTTGGTTATGATTACTGAATTCAGTTATTGACACTTTAACAAGAGATCGATTTGTAACGTATAATCCCACCTCACTTGTCGTAGATCCTCTCGTCTCAATGGCATCATCTGTGTGTTGCTGAATCTCTTCAGAGTGTTCGGTCTCATCCCAATCATTCCCATTCGCAGAAGGTTGCTTTCCGTTGGTAGACTTCTCTGAATAAATAGCAATGGGAAACACTCCACGAATTCCCTTCTTCCCAGTGATGGGAGAATCAGTGTTGTCAGACATGGGACTCGCTGCTACGATAACCGGGTCATCTTCAGCTCCTTGTTGTTCACCATCTGTGTTCTGATCAGTAATATAGTGTAACAGTCAGAAAAATCAGAAAGATCATATCTTTCTCACATAAACTCATCCTCATTTTCCAATGTTTAATAAACAAGGGCAGGCTTGTGGCACTTAAGTGAACAAATTTTACTTATACCACACCAGGGTATCAGCAAATGAGCTTTATTACAGTAATAGAGATGACAAAAATCCACTGCAGACATTATATCTGGAAAGTTTGTTGAGGTTAAGGGCATTATTACAATGCTTACACAAGAAGCAAGGAGCATAACATTCTGAATAAGTGTTCTTACAATATATAACACACCTTTACTACAAAATCCAAATTAAAATATAAATCTCTTTACACTGCCTATAGTTTATTATTTAACTACTTATATGAAATCAGTGTTTGATGTGCTCTTTTTAGGGGATCAATACATCTAGAAAGAATATTTTAATATTAACACCATTATGCATGAAAAAAATAATATATTGCTTTTGTCTGAAGTGAAAACAAATTTAAAATATTGTCATCTCCCCTTATTTTGAATGTGCCTTGGATTTGACACCTAGATTTAAAAAATACAAACAAAAGGTAAACATAGAGGTACAAGGTAAGATAAACACATATAGAGACTGGAATAAAACTTACACATGCAAAGTAACTGGGTGAACAAAAGGAAAAAAGGTGAGGATAAACACAATAGAAATTGGAATGACATCATCATCATTTTCCACAATATTTTTTCATACTTGTCAAAGACAGTAACATTTCTCAAAGATTTTAAATTTAATTACATGATTTCTTGTTAGTGTAAATGATGGTAAAGTTCTAATAAGATATCATAAATACAGCACTTCCTAATTAATTGTTGATTCATAGACACTACATGCATTGAGGCAAAGGTAGATAATGCATAGTGGCTTGTAACTAGGGTAACATAATATGATTCCATTGATCACAAGAAATAGTAAGATGAAGACAAATGTCAGTCTTTGAAGGAAATGATTTGGGCTAGTCACATCCATTAATACCACAAACAAGCCATTCTTATGATTATCACTAGACTGTACCCTTTTTCAAATACATTTTGTACAGTGTTTTTAGCACTTCAAAATACTATAACAGGACATTTATCTACATTCACATTCTGCCAATGTATTAAGCATCTCACAACAATCTCTGCTCTACTTAGACTAAGAAGCACACATGTGATGTTAATATAGGAATTCTATTGCTGAAATAATTTGAATGGCAATTTGCATTTCAATCTATCATGGTTGTGAAGGTACCACATCCTTAACTAATATCCATCTTTGATTATCTACACTAAGTATAATAATTCAATAATATGCATGTGTTGATACGTTGGAGGGAGGGGGGGGGGGGTAAGCTGACCACAAGAGGTGACAAACACATTATGGAATGAACATGCAATGGACTATACGTCTCAGTGAATTGACTATACGTTACAGTCTGAATATGCTATTGGATATGAGAATACAACGAATGATTGTTAAACTAACCTGTTGTAAATTGGAATGTACTGCACGTATTCTATCCATCTTCTCATGTAGTAGGTGTATTGCATGAGGTAATGCTGGCAAGATGATCTCGTAACATTCCTGGTGATTATGATTATACAGAATCATTGCTGATATGAGTTGGTAAGCGTAGACATATGGTAGATGAATACGGTAGTGCATAAATGATACCAATGTTTGTCTAAGGAATTACCTGACAACAAATGTTGCTATTCTGGATTGTTAACAATTCCTGCTATTGACATTTTTTTAAACATTTCCAGGCACCAAATTGCCTGTGGAATGCACAGAACATTGGTAATGATTTCAGCCAAAGTATCAGCAGTGTATTGTCAGTAGCATGTCTGTAGTTATTTGGTTGTAGTAATGAAAACAAAGACAGATAAAGAGAAACAAAGAGAGGATTGTCTATCTTACATATTATGAACCTTTTGTATAACTTGCAGGACAATTGCTTGACTGAAAGTGTTAAAAAACTTTGTTTTCATTTTTCAGTATAGTCAAAAAAGCACTAGTGTAATATTGGCTGATAGATAATCCCTTACACAAACATTGGTCGACCTAATGAATAACCATACTCATCTATATCTCAGCTTTTAGATGATATATAGGTTGTTATAGTAGCATGATTAGTAACAAAACATTTTACACTTATTGCTACCTTATAAATAATAAATGTATTTTTTTTTTTTGCAATAGGTTTGTAATTGCTACCTGTGATCCCTTGGTACTGCCAGGAAGATTCACTATAAGACTCTTACCACGTATCCCACACACTGGTCTGCAATACAGACAAACAAAAACTGTATGGTTACCATAATAACTATCAGGTTAGTCAGACTGTTTTCCAGTATTCACATAATAGACTGATAAACTGAAAACAACTTATTTTTTAAGTTCCATTCTTAACTGCATTTACCTTGATAACATAGCCATTGGTGTAATTTTTAGTGATCCCATCAACATAGCAACAGCCATACCAGGGCATTCTTTTTCAATCACAGACTTTGTTGCCTGCAAACATAACAAAATAATACATCACAATTTAGAATAAAATATGTGTTGTAGTCCCTCCCACCAGCTGACAACCACATCCACATCACCTCAGAGAGTTACATGATGAACTTGTCAGTCAAATCTAATGATAGGTGAAAATTCAGGTTCAATACTACTTCATTT